AGTGGCGAGGAGAAAAGTCCTGAATTGTGCGCATGTTACATCAGTCTGTGTTTAGCACTCGTTCCAGTAGCATCGTAGTGTTGCTTGTGATCACACATTTTCTCAAACTTTTGTTATATTGTGATACATGTACATGAATCCTCCAGGCCTACAAGATGATCTCTGTGAAGAATTAGGTTTATCAAGATCCAGTTTCTGCCTCCCAACACCACCCCGTTACTCCAGCCCACGACCAGCAAGTTAATTCTAACTTCAAGAAGCTCTACACTAAGGCACTCTTCGAGCATTGTTTTCAGGTGACTGAAGGGACCAAACTCACTCTGAGAGAGTTTTGGAAAACCCACTTCCACATCTTGCCTGCCTCAATATGATTGACAAGGCGAGGGAAGGGGTTACCAAGAGAACCCTAACTTCTGTTAGGAAAAAGCTTTGGCCGGAGAGCGTTGTCAATTTGTGACTTTGAGGGGTTCGAGACAGTACCTGTGAAACCTGTAGTCGACGAGATTGTGTCTTTGGCCACTTTCATGGGATTGGAGGTGGATAACAGTGATACCGAAGAGCTTTTGGAAGAGCACAGCCAAGAGCTGACCACTCAAGAGCTTATGGAGTTGCATTGTGTTTCACAACAAGAAGTTTTGGGGGAAAGTTTGTCAGAGGAGGAGATAACAGAAAAGCAAAAATCTTCTGGCGAAATAAGAGAAATGCTGAAAGCATGGCAAACTGTTGCATCTTACATTGAGAAGCATCACCCTAATAATAAAGTCGCTATGCGTGCTGCACATTTATTTAATGATAATGCTGTGTAGCATTTTCCCCAAATTTTGAAGCGTCGGCAAAAACAAACGTCTCTGGACACCTTTCTAGTAAAAAAAAAAAAATTTAATTATTTCAACTTTTTTTTTCTGCAAATCGAATTCGCATTCCAGGTGAGTTCATTTTGCGCTTGAAGAGAAGATGAAGATGATTCACTCTCCTTAACAATATGGATATAATTTTCTTTGAATAAATGTTATGCACAGCATTTTGTATTTTTTTTTTTTTTTTTTGACATGGAACGCATTATCGTATTTTACATTAATTTAAATGAGAAAAATTGTTTCGCATAACGAGTGTTTCGTTTAACGAGTATGATTCTGAACGAATTATGCTCGTTAAGCGAGGTTCCACTGTACAATAATACCCGGACATTTGTCAGTGCCTTTGCCGTGAACATCACAAAATAATGCTCATGTCTTTACTTTGCAAACTCCTTTGTTTGGGTGTGGGATAACGTTAGCAGTCGTAAACCATACTCCGTCACCTTAATAATCAGTCAGTTGCTAGTAGAACGGATGGATTATTATCTATTCTGTCTGCTAATGCCATCCCCTAAAACCTTTCCCCATTTTTAGCATCACCTCCTCGACATATTGTTTGAAAGACCTGCTCTAGTCAAAAGTTAATTCTAAATATTGTGATGAATCTGTTGTTGTTGGTGGAGGGGTTTCTGTTGCCCTTTATTATCATGTTCAGAAACTCGTCTCTGATAACAATTCTACATTTTATCGAACACTACAATACTGCTTATTATGGGCTGATGCTAGAACCTGCTTACTCATACCAATCACCTACTTTGTCTATCACGGTCTGCACTTCTCTGGATTTATCTGCTCTATTCTCCCCTGCTGTAGATTCTGACAACAAAAGTCAAAACTCTCAATATACACAGAGCCTCTATTGGCGCTATCCTCGTTAAAAGCACTGTGGAAATAATGAACGCCTGGGGGAGGCCAGGTGCGATACTACTTAGTTCAGAGCTCATCACTGATGCAGTACAGTTAACGATCCAGTGAATGAACTCAATGTCCATGAGAAAAAGAAGAAGAAGAAAGAGGAGAATGAGTGACAGAAGAAATAGGCTGCTCGCTTACCACGGCGCCAGGGAATGTTGCGGTGATCACATCAACGACAGGTTGGCTAGGCGCAAACGATCCGTCATCCTGTGTTCTCAGTTTTATAATGAGTGTGTATCCCTGCCCAAATTTGCTCTTTAAATGTTGTGGACTGCCCAGGCAGACAAACTTTCCATTAACCATTATTGCAATACGCGTGCACAGAGCATCACACTCCTCCATGCTGTAACATAATTAATCAGTATTCGTTTTGTTACACAGTAAAGTTTTTACAAAATGCACAGAAAGTGTACAGTGTCTTTTTTTGCGATTTCTCTGCCACAACAAGTAGATAGTTTTAGACACATATTGTTATAGACCATTCAATACTCAATATATCATTTGGCTTTTCTCATCAAGCCGGCTGTTTTTACTTCTAGTGACATTTTCTCTTGTCCATTTGAGACTTGGTTCAACAAGTCATTTACAGCAATTTGTAGTTGAAAGAGGTTGATCATATTAGTTTCAGATGAAAACGGTACACCCCAAACAAGTCAATTTAATCACTGCATTTCCGCCCAGAAATATTGTTCTTGAATTTATTATTTTTTGTGTGGTTATTATTAGGTAAAAAAAGTAAGTTAAGGACCCTTTTCCACACCTTAAGGCGTATAGGGCTAGACCTATATTTTTATACACCAATCGGCACAAGATTAGTGATGTGGTCAGCGTCACGCCGGCGGCCTTTACTTCCCGGGACTGCACCCAGTACCCACTCAAGGCTGTGTCGACCTGGAAGCGAAGGTAATTTTTTTTTAAATAGTTCGACTCCGCCAGGGAGCGAACCCACGCCCTTCCGATCGATATTATTAGAAAAACTATTGAAAAATATATGCACTTCTAAATTCATTCAGGGCAAAAGTCTACTACAGTAGGGCCCCCTGGTGAGAAAGAATCCGACGATGTCTTCAACAAGTGGCTGCACGTGAAAATGGAAAGACCAAGAGGCAGAAGGAGACCTAGAAGAACACAGATAGAGGGAGTCAGTGACAGGTTAAGCCTGAACATCATCACAGGAAACCCAAGTGCTCGCCTACCCATCGTGATTTAAACTGCTACGCCAAGCGGGCAAGGCAGGTGCCTACCACGGAAGAGAATATTGAACACAAACAATCTTCAGATACCTGTGCGATGTCAGAACTAGGGTGCGCCCCGATGCTCGTATCCTTGACAACACAATCCACAGGCTTCTTCTGGCTTCAGGGTCCATCCCCGAGGATGGTTCATCCAACATGATGAAAGGTGGGTCCCCAATTAAGGATATGGCTGTGCTCAACTTTCTTTTGTTGCCACCGCTGAGGATGACACAAGAAAACCTTCCTTCAATGACTTTTTAGTGTAAAACAGGGGAACGGCTTATGTCTGAGGATTTAGGCTCATGTGGCTAAAGCAGTTGTCTCGATTTGGGCTGGTGAGGATTTGTTGGTAGCTTCTGACCGACAGAAATCTTCATCACTTCACAAAGGATTCTAACATAGTCATCCTGAATTAGAGTGAGAGCCCCTCTTATGTAAACATTCGGCCAGTCACTCGTACTGTTAAAGATTTGTACTTTCTACAGCTGGAAAATTCTAGCAAAATATAGCTTTCAGTTGTAATCCGAAATTATAGAGGTGGAGAGAGAGAGAGAGAGAGAGAGAGAGAGAGAGAGAGAGAGAGAGAGAGAGAGAGAGAGAGAGAGAGAGAGAGAGAGAAGCCAGTAATGTTAATCTGATATCAAGAAATATAAAGTGCTCTAGCGAGAGAGGTGTTCTAAGTTGTATCTAGACGAAGTGCTTTAGCGAGAAACATGTTCTAAGTTGTATCTAGGCTAAGTACTTTAGCGATAGATATGTTCTAAGTTGTATCTATGTGAAGTGCTTTAGCGAGAAACATGTTATTAGTTGTATCTAGGCGAAGTGCTTTAGCGAGAGATATGTTCTAAGTTGTATCTAGGTGAAGTGCTTTAGCGAGAAACATGTTCTAAGTTGTATCTAGGCGAAGTGCTTTAGCGAGAGATATGTTCTAAGTTATATCTAGGCGAAGTGCTTTAGCGAGAGATATGTTCTAAGTTATATCTAGGCGAAGTACTTTAGTAAGAGATATGTTCTAAGTTGTATCTAGGTGAAGTGCTTTAGCGAGATGCATGTTTTAAGCTGTATCTAGACGAAGTGCTTTAGCGAGAAACATGTTCTAAGTTGTATCTAGGCGAAGTGCTTTAGCGAGATGCATGTTCTAAGTTAAATCTAGGCGAAGTGCTTTAGTGAGAGATATGTTCTAAGTTGTATCTAGGTGAAGTGCTTTAGCGAGATGCATGTTCTAAGTTAAATCTAGGCGAAGTGCTTTAGCGAAAGATATGTTCTAAGTTGTATCTAGGCGAAGTGCTTTAGCGAAAGATATGTTCTAAGTTGTATTTAGGCGAAGTGCTTTAACAAAAGATATGTTTTAAGTTGTATCTAGGCGAAGTGCTTTAACAAAATATATGTTTTAAGTTGTATCTAGGCGAAGTGTTTTAGCGAAAGATATGTTCTAAGTTGTATCTAGGTGAAGTGCTTTAGCGAGATGCATGTTCTAAGTTAAATCTAGGCGAAGTGCTTTAGTGAGAGATATGTTCTAAGTTGTATCTAGGTGAAGTGCTTTAGTGAGAGATATGTTCTAAGTTGTATCTAGGTGAAGTGCTTTAGTGAGAGATATGTTCTAAGTTGTATCTAGGTGAAGTGCTTTAGCGAGATGCATGTTCTAAGTTAAATCTAGGCGAAGTGCTTTAGCGAAAGATATGTTCTAAGTTGTATCTAGGCGAAGTGCTTTAGTGAGATACATGGTCTAATTTGTATCAAAATTCGACCTGCTAATTCGGGGGGGGGGGGTATTCTCACTACACTTTGTATTTGTTTTGACAGTCAGAAATAATTCTTCCAAACCCTGCACAAGTTGGAAAAGAAATTTGAGTCGCCATCTAAATCTCCTATCGCCCACTGCAACACCGCTTGAACCGAACGTGGATATCACAGCCTTAGCAATGACTAGCACTAACCGATATCCCACTACGGCTTGTTGACTGTCTGTACAATATGTGCAGTGGGAATGTACCTGTAATTGCCGCACTTATCATTCAGATATTCGCTAAACATGAGGAACTCCGCCAGGGATTTCACCACTCGATTTATGCTGTCTTCTGGTATCCCTCGCAGGCGTGCGTACATTGTGAGCGTCTCTCGTCCGGTCAACACATCAATGAGAGGATCGAACTGTGGACAGTAGCCCATGTTGGTTTGGACCTAACCAAATGAAACAGAAATAATATAGCTTATTTGTAACTACCATTCATCACAATGTTGCAAGGTGACCTGTTAATAAATAATGGCGAAGGGTGTCTATAAATTTTTCTAATTTATGATAGGAGACATTATAAGCACTTTAGTATATGAACCACAACAGAGGTAGCTTAGAATGTAACTTGGCAAGGAAAAAATGTGCGATACTTGATTGAAGTCCATAGTAAACACTGCATATCTTCTTCTTGTAGTGTTGCTGTAAAGTATCACGGACCGCAATTGTGCTTGTTGGGATGGCATTGGCCTTTGTCATCCCACGGTAATTCAGAATATCTTGTATTGTCGCCACCCCATTTACCATAGTCCGTTTCACTGCCGGATCACATTTTCTAGTGTTTCATGCCAGCGCCTGTAATGGCAACTGGCGTTGTTGAGTTTTTAGAGTAGTAGTAGCGCCTTGCGTTGGTTAGAAAGCAATAGCAAACTACTGGACGTAAATTTGCCTAGAAAAACCACACAACAGCCAGGGGCTGTTGCGGTTGGTTCCACAACGTCCTGTAAAGGATACGCAACTAACCAGTAATTAAACCGTAGTCCCTGCGATCTTATCATAGTCAACACATAATAAAGCACACAATAAATCCTTTTCTCGCTGAAATGCGTTAGCTACATTGTCGTGTTGCTGTATATCTATCCCCGATGCAATTCAAGATCAGTCATGTGATTAAAATAGGTAAAGTAAAGTAAAGATCCCTTTTCACGCCTTGGACGCATCGGGCGTATAGAAAGAGCACCCATATTTTTAGATCAGTCGGCACTAGGTGGGTAATGTAGTCAGTATTACGCCGGCTGTCCTTACTTCCCTAGGACATCTATCCTGGTACCCATTTTAGGCTTGGTCGACCTGCGACGCCCCATACAATTATAAATATCCACGCAGCCAGCATTAGGCTTTAATCGCGGTATGCTGGAATTACGAGGCAGACTCGCAACGCCTAAGACACAGGCGAAACAGATTACCATGGTAACTTCTTATATGTGGATGTGCTTCTGTAGAACCTCACGTAGCAAAGCGAAATGTGACAGGCAATCGACTGCAATGTATTATTTTTATCCGCATTATTTACATTTACAACAGGAAAACACTGTTTCGAAATACTGAAGATGTGCAATTCTGCTTATTCCATATATATTGTATAACATATTACAATGAATACTAAAGGCAGAAGATACCGAATTCATTTAATTTTAGAGAACTGGTTCTATGTACATTATGTAGAATCCGTTAAAACACAAGATCATGAATCCTAGACAACTAATAAATAAGTCGAACTATTTTTAAGGATCCAACTAAAAGAGATGAAGCCTTATTACAGGTTTTCGGAACAGAGTCTTACGACGAATCTTTGGACCCATCAAAATGATTATAACATCCACACTTTTCAAATAAATAGTTTCCAAAAAAAAAAAAAAAAATTATAACTAGCTAATATATAATTGAACAGAGAAGGCATGTGCATTATTAGAACTGGATAGCAATGTTGCTAAATAAGCAACAACAACAACAACAACAAAAAAAAGGTAAGCACAACATTTGTCATGTAAATAATCTTTATGAGTATTGTGTGATTTTAATATTTCCTTGTAGTGCTAAAACTTAAATAGTTTAGATGTATTCTGCAATCATCTATCTTCAATCTGATATTATATGTCGTGATACAGCCAATAGGTTTTCTTCAGGGAGGTTTTAGCTTTGTCGTGTTGCAGTTAAAAAAAATTATGTTCAGAATGAATGCTGTCTAAACCCCAGAAAAAAAAGTTGGTCCTGAAAAAGCTAATAGGAGAATAAAACAGAAGGGTGAGATACAATATGCTACCTGCTTGATATCCTTTCGGACATCAAAACCTTTGAGGTAGGCGTTGCCTCCACTGAGCATGATATCACCGGTGATCATTTTGAAAATGGTGGTTTTTCCTGCGCCGTTCTGACCCAGCAGACCAAAACATTCTCGTTCTTTGATGCCCACACAAGTGTGATCCACAGCGACGAAATCGTAGTATTTTTTATACAGGTTTATAAGCACCAGTGGATCTGGAACGACAAATGAGAGCAACAAATGGAAGTTACCTAGCGGTCTTGTTTCTGTTTGGGGGCTGCGATAGCTTAATTACCGAGCTTTTGTCCACTGTTCAGAGGGTCTGGGATTCAAATCCGCATCCAAGCTGATTGTTGTACTGCATCGACATTGTCTACAGTGTGTACCAGAAAATATTTCGTGAAATAAAAGCAGCCGGTGTGTTGGTCGCACCTCTCATCGTTATGTTATCATAATCGACGTCACTGCACGAAGTGCTGTTTGCTCTATACAAGTATGTACGTAGCACCATATATCCAGTGTGCTAATGATATGAACAGCCTCCTTTACGTGTGTTTGTATAAATATTTCATTACAATACAGCCTCTGTTGTCATAGACACAATGTGGGTGCCTAGTCTGACTATAGTCAATCTGTCAAGTTAGAATCTTCTCTTATTTTTCGGCGTTCAGCGGAGTAAACTCGGGCGCATAAGTTGTGGTCGTTCGTCCATTTATAGACTCTGGTCTTGTTCCACAAATACAGCTTTTCGTGTACATCCGTTTTACAGATCAGGCTCGTTTTTTGTTGTTGTTGTTTGCAGACTGTTGGTTCCTCGCAGATGTACTCTGACTTCGAAGGAGACACTCCTAACTAGCTGTCTTTTACAACATGCGTGTTGGGGGTGGGGGCTGTGGGTCTATTCCCCCACCTCTCTCCCACAATTGGGACTAGAACCCACACGGGGAATATTAGCTCTGAGGAACACAGTAACATGCCTGAGGTTCAGTTGTCGTCACTTCTATCCTTGCGTCCCTGACCTTCATTTTAGAGAACAAAGAATAGATCCATCGGCTGTGAACTCCAGTGGAAAGTAAGGGTTGTTCATCCACTTCTGGGCTTTAATATTGTTCCAGAGCTGTGCGTGCACATCAGTTCTAGATTATTTGTACACAGACTGTCGGTTCCTTGTCTATCAGGCAGACGTACTTCGACTTGGAAAGAAACAACCCTAAGACACACTTTTAGGTTTATTTCTATTTTAAGGGTCGTTCAGGGGGCAGTTTCTTTCCTAACAACCCCCCCCCCCCTTTTTACCCCCCCCCCCCCCCCTTACAATTGGGTCCCAGAATTCACACAAGGAACATCAGTACTTTTTTTGGCATTAGGTTCTATTGGCACCTGTCTGTCATTCCAGATGATATTGTTAAATTGTTCTATAGAAGGCATGGGACACACAGCCCGTGGCAATGGCGAGTATGACCAGCAAGACTTGTCCACATTAGGAAAAGTCTTCAATTTTTTTTTTTTATATCTAGAAACTATGAGTTCTTAACCCTTTGGCTATGTACTATGGATACCGCAACCCTTCGGCCTTGATTCCATGATAGGTACCGTAAATCTGGGAGAAATGTGGCTTTTCTGAATACCCAAGGTGAACACGGACCACAAGGAGTTCGTCACCCGGTCACCGCGATGTCATGTTTAACCAACTACGCTAGAGAGCCGGGCAAAAGTCGTCCATAATTAGAGCTGGGACGGCAGGACCGTTGTTGCCATCAATTATATTTAGTGCGTGTTAATTCCTCCTCTCCATAAGACAAGGCCTGGACAGTATTATAGAAGCCATATGTTGCTCCATGCATCATGATCCCTCCTTCAGCCTAGTTTACTCTAAAGGAAAGGTAACACTAGTTCATGTGGAACAAAGCATGCCGAAGAAGAGCGACGTTCTGTCATTTGATATTGGTACATTCAATACAAGCATATACTGGGTACAGAATTAGTTGCATGTGCTTCATAAAGAAGAACCAGGCCAAAGCTAAGGCAGCCTGTATTGGCAGTTGGTTGGTTATAGTACTGGACAATTCAACGTTCAGCAGTTTAATACTGATAATGAAAGTTTCGGAAGCTGCCCTTTTTCAGCAGCGGCCAGACGCTTGCCTGCGGATCAGAAAGAAGATCGTAAGTTCAGGCTCTAATGGAGCTGGATTTTCTTTCTTAAAAAATGACATTGGCTACCAGGTGGACAGCCTTAAATTGGTACCAGGTAAAGTCTTGGGATGTAAACGCAGCCGGTGTTGTGTTGACTATATCACCTATCAAATGCTGATTGGACTACACGATATAGGTCTAGCCCTATATACCCAGTACACCTGAAGGCGTGAAAAGGGGTCGTTTTACTGAAAGGTCTACTCTCATGGCGTGTACTGTACACAGACATAACTCAGCCGTTCGAATCTAGCACTGTCCTATGGGAAATCTTCTTCATTGACTATCGAGAAAAGGGAAAAAGCACGCCTTGGAATGCAGTGATGCCAGTTCGTAAATGACTGCCTGATTGAATGACACACGACTAATACATCCTTTCTTTCATTCTAACTCACCTGTAGATGTCAGAGTTGAGATTGGAGTGGAATTGATACGCTCTCTTTCAGCTGCAACATCACTGTCCTCGTTGCTCTCGTCTGTACTTTTAACATTACTGTCAGCTCCAACAAGGGCGTACCTGGCCGATCATTGATAACAGCCATCATACAGTTACAGCTTGTAAAGGAAATTCAGCGACAAACCTTCACTAGAAAGCGGTACACAAAACACAATAAAAGAAAGAAACAGGACAGGCACGCTTAAGCACACTGTACCTTCATTTAAACCGATGAAACTCTACAGGTATCACTCCTTCACTGGTAAAAAAAAAAAAAAAAAAAAAACGGCTTCTATATAACGAATGTCAAATTGGGGCAGCTATCTTTAAACTGGCATTATTACGTCACCGTGTCCACCCGTACCGTGAAGTCAGGTGCTTAACACTCTTGACATCATTAGCAACAATACTGACAGGTTACAAAACATTGAAGTTGTTAATGTAATTTTAATCAAAAGAAGCCACCTTAAAAGCAGTCGACCCAGAAATTTCCGAAATGAGAAACTTTACTTTCCAGAAGAAGAACTAGATTCACACATCGTAAGTGAGCTACTATTTGCAGACGATCAATGTCTGTTCTACAATAAGGGGAGTAGACTGTAAGACTGTAACAGCATCAGATGTGAAATAAATACTACTAAAACTAAAGTAATACAGGTCAGCAGAATTACTAGTCCACTACACATTATTGTCCCAGACAATGGTATCACAAAACATCACGATTGTCCCAGACAATGGTATCACAAAACATCACGATTGTCCCAGACAATGGTATCACAAAACATCACGATTGTCACAGACAATGGTATCACAAAACATGAATATTGTCCCAGACAATGGTTTGACAACACATCACGATTGTCCCAGACATTGGTGTGACAACACACCATTTTTGTCCCAGACAATGGTATGACAACAAATGAATATTGTCCCAGACATTGGTGTGACAACACACCATTTTTGTCCCAGACAATGGTATGACAACAAATGAATATTGTCCCAGACAATGATATGACAACACATCCCGATTGTCCCAGACATTGGTGTGACAACACACCAATTTTGTCCCGGACAATCTTATGACGACACATGAATATTGTCCCAGACAATGGAATGACAACACATCATGATTGTCCCAGACAATGGTGTGACAAATCTGCACGATTGTGGTCAGACATTAAATAGTATGACAACACATCATAATTGTCGCAGACAATGATACGACAACACATCCCGAATGTCCCAGACAATGATATGACAACACGGCGTTATTGTGTGACAAAACATCACAAGTGTCCCAGACAATGAGATGACTGTTGTGTGTATAATCTGTGTGAATTAAAACATTCAGGTTCCAGTAAATTCGTGGAGTGTCAACAACGCCTCAGTCAACATTCAGACCGAGAATTGGTCAGGTGAAACCTGGCGCAAGAAGGTCTGTGTGAACTGAGTTGAATCACCAAGATAGCTGAATTGCTTCTCATGTGTTCAGGCAGTATACTTGGGTAAGTCTCAAGGATCAGTGGTTGAGAAGGAGTTGAGAGGTGATTGCCTTGCTGATAAGATGTGTGGAGTCTTTCGATAATTGAGCAAGCAATGATTCTACATACGGGGACTTGATCGTAGATGGTATCATAACACATCACTATTGTCCCAGGCAATGGTATGACAACACATCACTATTGTCTCAGACTATGGTATGACAACACATCACTATTGTCTCAGACAATGGTATGACAACACATCACTGTTACTCCAGACAATGGTATGACCACACATCACTGTTACTCCAGACAATGGTATGACAACACATCACTGTTACTCCAGACAACGGCATGACAACACATCACTGTTACTCCAGACAACGGTATGACAACACATCACTGTTACTCCAGACAACGGTATGACAACACATCACTGTTACTCCAGACAATGGTATGACCACACATCACTGTTACTCCAGACAATGGTACGACAACACATCACTTTTACTCCAGACAATGGTATGACAACACATCACTGTTACTCCAGACAATGGTATGACAACACATCATGGCTGTCATTGAAAAAAAGTTTCACCACACGTTATGATTGTCGGTGTCTGTGGCTTACACGTTGCGACCGCGCTTCGTATTGCCGGGGTGCCGGGTTCGATCCCAACTGCAGATGATCTGTCTTGCATTGGTTTTGATAGTGGTACCGAGAGCTGACAGTGCAGTAAGTAATGGCAAACTACTGAACGTAACATTTGCCTAGGAAAAGCAAACAGACAACAAAAGTTAGAGTTGGTTCTATAACGTCCTGTAAAGGATAGGCAACTAATTTGTATTATTGTCCCTTAACTCTTTCAGTCCTAGATATGTGCTTCTTCAGCTCTCAACTTTCCATGCAGTGGTTGCTTAAAGTAATAGTCCATGAGCTTGAAAGTGTTCAGATAACAACCCAATCGGATAAGGAAGTCAAGAAACAATTATGGTAGAATAAAATGTAGCTACAGTCAGTATAGTTCATAGCCCTCAGAAAGTAATAGGATGTTAGGTATTCGAATAAACGCAAAATACATGACTTGGTACCGAAAGAGTTAAACAATAGTCTGACCAGATGTTATGACTGTCTAAAGACAGTGGTTTCACGATTCACCACGATTGTCTGTAAACTGTGGTTTGACCACACATTATGATTGTCCCCAGACAATGGTTTTCATACACATAGTGATTGTTAATAGATAATTGTTTGACAACATATGAAGGATCAAGAACGTACAAAATTACTACATCATAACATTTGACTAACGTTAAACATCACTGGAAATCTTACCACAACATCTGAATCACTTTATATTCAATTGCCATAACAATCAGAAAAAATAACACTCCTTGACCGGCCATAAAAAGCAGGTACTTTCCAATGCCCGGAACGTTTGTGCTGAGGTAGTTAGTTTCAAACAGTGTGCACCTGTCCCCACATCGTTCTGTAGTAAAATCATTTGGCAAACATGTATTCCAGTGTAGACAAACACTGTTGAATAGTGAAAGCATGCGAAAGATATGTTTTCCGGTGTAGACAAACATTGTTGTATAGTGAAAGCATGAGAAAAACATGTATTCCAGTGTAGAGAAACATTGTTGAATAGTGAAAGCATGAGAAAGACATGTATTCCAGTGTAGAGAAACATTGTTGAATAGTGAAAGCATGAGAAAGACATGTATTCCAGTGTAGAGAAACATTGTTGAATAGTGAAAGCATGAGAAAGACATGTATTCCAGTGTAGAGAAACATTGTTGAATAGTGAAAGCATGAGAAAGACATGTATTCCAGTGTAGAGAAACATTGTTGAATAGTGAAAGCATGAGAAAGACATGTATTCCAGTGTAGACAAACACTGTTGTATAGTCAAAGCATGAGAAAGATATGTATTCCAGTGTAGACAAACACTGTTGTATAGTCAAAGCATGAGAAAGATATGCATTCCAGTGTAGAGAAACATTGTTGAATAGTGAAAGCATGAGAAAGACATGTATTCCAGTGTAGACAAACATTGTTGTATAGTGAAAGCATGAGAAAGACATGTATTCCAGTGTAGACAAACATTGTTGTATAGTGAAAGCATGAGAAAGACATGTATTCCAGTGTAGACAAACACTGTTGTATAGTCAAAGCATGAGAAAGATATGCATTCCAGTGTAGAGAAACATTGTTGAATAGTGAAAGCATGAGAAAGACATGTATTCCAGTGTAGACAGGCACTGTTGTATAGTCAAAGCATTAGAAAAGCATGCATTCGATGTAGACAAACACTGTTGAATAGTGAAAGCATGAGAAAGATATGTACAGTGGAACCTCGCTTAATTCCAGAATCATACTCGTTAAGCGAAATGCTCGTTATGCGAAACAATTTTCTCATATAAATTAATGTAAAATACGATAATGCGTTCCATGAAAAAAAAAAAAAAAAAATACAAAATGCTATGCATATTGTTTATTCAAAGAAAATTATATCCATATTGTTAGGGAGAGTGAATCATCTTTATCTTTTCTTCAAACGCAGAATGAACCCACCTGGAATGCGAATTCGATTTACAGAAAAAAAAAGTTGAAATAATTATGATACATAGTTAATTTTTTTTTTTTTTAGAAAGATGACCAGAGACATTTGTTTTTGCCGACGCTTCAAAATTTGGCGAAAATGCTACACAGCATTATCATTAAATAAATTTGCAGTGCGCATAACCACTTTACTATTAGGGTGATTTTTCTCTATGCAAGATGCAACAGTTTGCCATGCTTTCAGCATTTCTCTTATTTCGCCAGAAGATTCTTGCTTTTCTGTTACCTCCTCCTCCTCCTCTGACAAATTTTCCCCCAAAACTTCTTGTTGTGAAACACAATGCAACTCCATAAGCTCTTGGGTGGTCAGCTCTTGGCTGTGTTCTTCCAAAAGCTCTTCGATATCACTGTTATCCACTTCTAATCTAATGATAGTGGCGAAAGACACAATCTCGTTGACTACAGGTTCCACAGGTACTGTCTCGAACCCCTCAAAGTCACAAATCGACAACGCTCTCCGGCCAAAGCCTCTTCCTAGCAGAAGTTAGGGTTCTCTTGGTAACCCCTTCCCTCGCCTTGTCGATCACCTTGAGGCAGGCAACGATGTGGAAGTGGTTTTTCCAAAACTCTCTGAGAGTGAGGTTGGTCCCTTCAGTCACCTGAAAACAATGCTTGAAGAGTGCCTTAGTGTAGAGCTTCTTAAAGTTAGAAAAAACTTGCTGGTCATGGGCTGGAGTAACGGAGAGGTGTTGAAAGGCAGAAACTGGATCTTGATAAACCTAATTCTTCAGAGAGGTCATCTTGTAGGCCTGGAGGATTCATGTACATATATTACAATATAACAAAAGTTTGAGAAAATGTGTGATCACAAGCAACACTACGATGCTACTGGAATGAGTGCTAAACACAGACTGATGTAACATGCGCACAATTCGGGACTTCTCTTCTCCTCGCCACTCGTTATGCGAAACGTCGCTCGTTAAGCAAGTCATTTTTTTACAATTTGTTTTGCTCGTTATGCGAATTACTCGTTATGAAAGGTGCTCGTTAAGCGAGGTTCTACTGTATTCCAGTGTAGACAGGCACTGTTGTATAGTCAAAGCATTAGAAAAGCATGCATTCCAGTGTAGACAAACACTGTTGAATAGTGAAAGCATGAGAAAGATAAGTTTTCCAGTGTAGCCAAGCACTGTTGTATGGTTAAAGCATGACAAAATCATGCATTCCAGTGTAGAGAAACATTGTTGAATAGTGAAAGCATGAGAAAGACATGTATTCCAGTGTAGACAGGCACTGTTGTATAGTCAAAGAGCATGCGAAAAGGATGCATTCCAGAGCAGACAAATACTGTTATAGAGTGAAAGCTTGAGAAAAAAAATGTACTTCCAGTATAACCACTGTTGTATAGTCAAAGCATTAGAAAAGCATGTATTCCAGCGTAGACAAACACTGTTCATTCTATTGTGAAAGTATGTAAAAAGCATGTTTTTCAGTATAAAAACTGTTGTGTAATGCAGCTTGAGAAAAGCATTATTCCATATGTATACACACAGACATGCAAACAAATACATCACTCCATCTTCCTGTCTATCACGCAACAATACAGCAAAACATAAATTTTTAGCTCCTGTGAGGACAAACTAAATAATAAATGAGGGGAGGGGGAAGGGAATGAGGGGTGCACATAAATGCATCTTTGGTCTATATTTATTTCCTCAACGAAGCAACAAAACATACATATGTTCAGTGAAAGTTAACTAAAAGAAATAATAAAAATTAATTTAACACACACATATACACTGGCGTGCTTACTTATACACACACGTAGACACGCGCGAGCACAAACCTAGACATCTCTGCATCTCTGTCTCTTGGCCACACATTGATGCAACATGTCATCATTGTGTTCCAGTCTGTCTTTCTATCTGCCTATCCCCAGTTAGTTGTACTGACAATCATCTCTGCTGTTTCATCAGGCACACATATGTTGTGACAATGCAAAACAAGCAGTACACATTACCTTTGCAGCAACTACCGCCGTAAATATGGCACATTATCTGGAGCGGCGCGCATACTTTGAGGTTCTGGTAGTTCGTGTTTATGTTTATGAGACAGGAGGCCAGATTGTAATTGGGGAACGCTATGGCGAACAGTAAATCCAACTTGTCCGTCGTGTCTTTGAGTGGCGGCCCCACAGCCTTGAGTATTGTCATAGCTATAGTGCTCACGACGCCTGAAATATTCATATATAGAGGATACAAGGGCAAGTCACTTTTTTAAAATCATCATGCGTGTGTGTTTGTGTGGTGTGTGCCTGTGTGCCTGTGTCTAGGTGTGAGTGTAGACATGAGGGAGTAGGGGGTGTATGTGTGCGTGTATATGTGTGTATATGCGTGTGTGTGTGTATGTGTGTATGTGCGTTTGTGTGTATGTGTGTATGTCTGTGTATATGTGTGTATGCGTGTGTGTATGTGTGTATATGTGTATATGTGTGTATGTGTGTGTATATGTGTGTCTATGTGTGTGTATGTGTGTATGTTTGTGTATGTATGTGTATGTATGTGTCTATGTGTGTATGTGTGTATGTATGTGTGTATGTGTGTATATGTGTGTATGTGTGTTTGTATGTGTGTGTTTGTGTGTGTGTTTGTGTGTGTGTGTATGTATGTGTATGTGTGTGTACATGTGTGTGTGTTGTGTAAGTGTGTATGTATGTATGTATTTTTGTATGTACGCATGTGTGTATGTATTAATATAATGTATCAGACTATCATTTGAGGTTCGAACTTCATCACATACGGGGGTAATGGGGCCCCCTATAATCAAGCCGCTCTCGTTCGCCAGTAAAAAACCACACAAAATGCATATAATTTGTTCCTTGTGAAAAGTCAAAGAGGCAGAAATCCCGATAAAATCCCACAACTTAAGCACGCATCAGATGCACAAGGCAACCACCGAGGTGCCAGTGTTACGCTAGAATTGCAATTCATAGGTAATGGAAACAGTCACGGAAAACCAATAGGTGCACATTAATTGTTGCGCAAGGCACGCCGCCACCCCTGTTACCACCAGCCACTTGCCCTTTCTGAACAACCAGTTTATAACCCTTTTCTCCAAGGGTACAGACAATGAGCATCTCCAATAGAATTCACAGCTCACAGTGTTGCGCCATGCACTAAACTCATCAAATGTCGTTAAATGCCTTGTTTTGCGCATCATTGCTTTAATAGGACTTCGTTCATCTTAACTGCACCTCTGGCCTCTCTCATTAATATTCTTTCTTGGATGGCAGTTAGAGTCCTTTCTCAATCCATTTGTTAACTTTTTCCAGTGTTTTTTTTTTAAATCTTCAGTTTATTTCGCGTTAGGATGCACCTTGTCTATCGCTACATTCTTTGCTTTACAACTTTTGACACACATGATATAACTTGAAAATAAATGCTACTATAACTGAAGTAATGCAGGTCGTCAGAATTCCTAGTTCGTTACACACCGGGTTGAATGGTACTTGTCTGAAACAAGTTACATGATTTACCTATCTAGGAAGTATATTATCGGAAGACTGGAGAATAGATCGGGAAATAGAAACAAGAAGCTAACGTGCTAGTGCATTTATTTCCCAAGTGACACCGTTATTAGGACAGCCAAAATTAAGTATGAGCGCCAAGAAATAGATTATTAACATCATATTCATACTATCACTGTGCTACCAGTACCAGAGACCTGGATATTATCGAAGGTTAACCTACACACACACACAAATCCACACCTGTGAAATAAGATGTCTGAGAAAAGCAGCCAACTTATCCATCCGAGAAAATGTTAGAAATAATATTATCAGACAGACTGTAGGAACAACACAGTGCAGCGAATTCATTGGGAAACAGAAAGTAAAATGGTTTGGTCATTAAGTAAGAATGCAGCCAGAACAACGACGAACGCTGACACTGCACATGAACAGATCTGAAGTGAATGTAAGAGGCCGCCATAAGAGAAGATGGACTTATGAAATTGAAGAGCTTCTACATTGAACGAAATGGCAATAGCCACTGATGCCCATCAAGCTAGGGATCGCAAACTGTTTCTCCCTACAACGCTTAAGGATAGAAGTAGAAATTGATGATGATGATATAACTGATTGTCGACACATTAATCTGTGTTGTCTCTTTCTTTGTCAGATTGGTTCAGTTAGATATCTAACTCTTGCTGGTCATTATCATCATCCTTATGTAGAAGGTTCACTGCAGAACGTCGCTCTTATCCCCGCAATTCAAAACGCCATTAAATACGGTCGAAGTGTTTAAGGTTCTCTTGTTGCTGTATTGGTTACAAATTAACCTTATACCTCACATACTCGCGCACACATTTACTCATACACACACACAACACAAAACCCACATACCCCACCCACATACACACACGCAAATTTACCTGACAGAAAGCTGTACATAATCACCATGGCAACACCGCTGGGAGGTGATATAAACAGAAACTGCAAGCTATACATCAGCGGCAGCACCGCCCAGCCATAAGCAACCAGTACCAAAACGACGAGCGCCAATCTCCCGTCCTGTGTGTAGGCGCTGATTTCGTACACTTTGAATATTACTGGAATGGCAATACTAGGCACAAAGAAAGTGAGGAAGTCCCATAGAAAAGTTGGCAACCAGTAAGTTACAGGAGAAATTCCGGTCATAATTTGCATGTGTTTCGCTCCAGTCTGAACAGAAAATGGAAAATACATCATAGGAATCATAGTGAAAAAAAAAAATTTTTAATAAAAAAATAAACAAACTGTAACTGTCTTCTTCTTCTTCTGCCTCTTTAGCCCCCAGTGGAGCACAAGCCCTCAACCAACTCACGCCAAGTCGTTCAATCCTTTTCTTTCGCATGCAGCTCTCCCCATGTCCTCCCCATCTTTCTAACTTCATTCTCCAGCTCCCTTCTCCGTGTGTTTTCTGGCCTTCCTTTATTCCTACGCCAGTTTTATTTCCCTTACTACTTCCATTATTCTTTCTATATCATAGAGAGTTCTAACATTCCAGTTGCCATTTCTGGAGGTTTTCCTAGGTGAGAGGAGTTATGTTAATCCGAACTCCTTTCGACTTTCTCCACACTATCATACTTCTTTCATTGGTAGAGTCTCCCCTCATCTTGGTTTACTTATTTTTACTTGCTTATCTTTTTGACCTATCCATGGTTGGTTGGTTTTTGTGGCTATTGTTTTTGCAGGATTAGGTAGCCAACCTCAAGCCCAACCCTACTCTTAATCGCCTCTTACGACATGCCTGGTAGGGTGCAGTGTCACTATTCTTTGCTTCCCGTGAGGGCCTCAGTGGCACGGCGGGCGAAACTATAACTATAGTGTGTTTCAAAACTCACGCTCTCACACTTACACAATGTCTCGAAAACTCCTCTATATATGCATCAACACGATTTTGTGCATACGGTAATACATTTGCCATATTCTAATGATTTTATAGTTTAGAAGCTGCATGGGTTTTGTTATATTGTTAAACTGCACTTTTTTTTCTAAGCTAACAATTTGTTTACCTTCTAAAAATACAATATACAGTAATTTACATTTGCAGGGACATTGTTTGGAAATCACTTTCCATGTGCAGGGACGCGTGACGATTATTTTGATAACCTATAGGGCATACAACGAAACGTAGTTTTCATCTAACAACTTACGGGAAGCAACCGCTGGAGATAACCATTCGAGAGTGAAATGCTGATAAAACGCGTGCAAGCTGATGTTTTGAAAAGTACTCTTTACTCAATTTACTCAAGTTACTATACTGTAAGCACGCTGACTGCTTGCTTTAAAACGGTGGCTGTTTTATATACTTATATATAAATAATGTAAACAAACTTTTAGCTTTCATTTTGCCTTTTTGTCGTGGAACAGGTTCCTTTTACACTCACTAAAGTGGTGTTATCTTGTTAGAAACCGAGACAACTGTCTTTTGGCGCAAAGAGCAGACAGTGTCCCTGGATACTCAGATACAAACTCAAATTGGCTCGCTAAAGAAGGTGAGCTGCCTGAATATCCCCAGAAAAGGGATAAGGGAATTTAGATGCTTAAACACTTAGACAGAGCAGATTACCGCTCCCGACAATTTCCCTTTCTGGTCATTAAATTAAGCCCCCATCTAGAATATGTATATTGGTAGACAGCACTGACACCATACATACATCTAGAAATAAAATTAAACTTTAACTATGAATTTAAATCAATCATAGGAATGTTTATTAAAATTAAAGTAAAAGTCAATCATCTATTTACTTTTGAAAATACAATATTCAAACTAAGTAGGATGAAAGATAAAAATGATAGTAACATGAAACTGTCGTCGTGAGAGGATCAGTGGGAAATAACATACAACAATTACCACCTGGAGTTTCCCAGAGGATCATCCATTTCAAAGACTGAGGTGGAATGTCGGATCTGTCTCAAGCACCAAGATCTTCCTTAGGGCACTTTAATCATCAGCTACGACCAGCCTGGCAGTGGTTTGGAAGCTCGTCCTGCCACAAGGAACAAGGAATCTGTCCTCGGCTTTTCAGCAGCTGGATTTAGATGTAACTATATGGTCATGCTGCTAGGGTTTTTAGGCGGCGGGAAAGACAAAGTTCTGCCAAAACGGCCCGCTCTAACTCCTGCTAGCTGCCCTGAAGTAAAAAATGGCTGGCCGTCTGCTCTCACAGCGGGATCCGGTGTTTGGCCAGGATTTTCCCGCTACGTTGCCGAGTTTGCTAGCCGTATATTTTTATACGTGAAAGCTCAGGGGAATTAAAAATAGGACAATGGAAAATCCCCAAACAGCAACAGAAGGCTATAACCGGGATATCTCTCAATGCGTCTTATGACGAAAATGAAGTCACTGGGCGCATGTAAGAGAGAAAAATAGAAGGGTCACAAAGGGGTGGTACGTCAGCCAAAAGTATCTTGTCTACTTGAAGCGGCGTCTCGCGACACTTTTTAATGGTATATATATATATATATATATATATATATATATATATATATATATATACCATTAAAAAGTATATATATATATATAGATATATATATATCCAAATGTGTCAACCATAATAATGTTTGCTGTCAGTTAAGATGCACTCTGGGGTCTAATGGTGACTGAAGTTCAATAATAACTGTTACTTATTGGGGACATGTTTACAATTTGACAAGGCAGACAGATTGCCTGGATCTGCACCACTGGGTGGTGAGTTGATACATGACAAGGCAGATGTGGTCAAGGCCCTGGGTGAAAAAGTAGAAGATAAAAAAGATTATCATGGCTTGGGGAGAATGATGCACCTGGGGAGAATGATACACCTGGGGAGAATGAAACACCTGGGTGTGACCAAAGGGCCTGGCCGGCACACTACACTCCGGGGAATGGCAAGATGGAAATTTTTTTCAGACTGCGTCCGGTACCATTAGTATTGGAACTGTGCGCTGTCTGATGAAGATGAGGACGGAACGCATTTGGGAATGCCCCGAGTGATGTGATGTCTTTCTTGATTCAGCTCACCTCAATTCAATTGAACATAAATGACAACAAATACATTTACTTCACCTTTCAATGTAGTATGAAGACGCGCCTCTGACGAAAATTAGAACCGGAAATTAAGATTTTTACTGTAAAATCTAAAAGTTCACTCCACTTATTTACCGTTTTTCAAAAAGATCAAAGAAATTAGCTGGTATTCGTCATCCTAGACATCTATGAACTAAAGAATACCACTGTTTTTGCATCATGGATATTCTAAAGGCTGCAAGCAAAAAATCTTTGCGATCTAACAGACAGTTTTTGAGAAAATGGCTTGCAAGTGGGTTCTTGAGATTTTGAACGAACTATAAATGTTAACAATTTAAAAAAAAAAAACTGAAAAGAACATTATTATTAACAGGCAATTATTAATAGGCTACATTCCAAGTTTGTACAACTTACACTGAACGTTTAGTGAGTTAAAGTTGTTTGAAGTTTAGCAAGACTTTCGGAACACACTATAGGAACTCAAAGAAGGAAAAGGAAAAGCGGCACATACACAATCGAGCGTTTCGGTCAAAGTATGTAACTTTCTTTCTTCTGACAGTCTAATCATTGTTTGTGTTTAGTAATTCACATCATGATATTAATTCTTCTGTAGTCACTCCTATTTTCTACATCGTTTTGTCAAAGCGGACAGTGATCGTACAGGAAGGAACGGAGGCCGAGGATACTCAGGCTACAGTCAGAAGCCTTACTATCTTCTAGGGTACGGAGTTTTTCAGAAACTGTATGGATTACACAACTTCACCCCTACTACATTGATATCTAGGGAATTAAATATTTCAGAAACTGTGGATTACACAACTTCACCCCCACTACACCGATATCTAGGGAATTGAATATTTCAGAAACTGTGGATTACACAACTTCACTCCCACTACACCGATATCTAGGGAATTAAATATTTCAGAAACTGTGGATTACACAACTTCACCCCCACTACACCGATATCTAGGGAATTAAATATTTCAGAAACTGTGGATTACACAACTTCACTCCCACTACACTGATATCTAGGGAATTGAATATTTCAGAAACTGTGGATTACACAACTTCACTCCCACTACACCGATATCTAGGGAATTAAATATTTCAGAAACTGTGGATTACACAACTTCACCCCCACTACACCGATATCTAGGGAATTAAATATTTCAGAAACTGTGGATTACACAACTTCACTCCCACTACACTGATATCTAGGGAATTGAATATTTCAGAAACTGTATGGATTACACAACTTCACCCCTACTACACTGATATCTAGGGAGTCGAATATTTCAGAAACTGTGTGGATTACAAACTTCACTCCCACTACACTGATATCTAGGGAATAGAATATTTCAGAAACTGTGGGGATTACACAACATCACCACGACTACATTGATATCTTAAGAAAAATATATTTCAGGAATTGTGTAAATTGGATTACACAATTTCTGTCCCACTTCATTGATACCCCCTCCCCCCTTTTTCCCTTTTTTTCTAATTGACCGCCATTGCTTCACACAACAACCAAATAGTTTTTATGTAATGAATTCATGCAGTAACCAGAAGAAGACCAAAAAAAAAAAAAAAAAAAAACTGAATTTGTCTCTGAACTCTTTCTTTATTTTATACTTTTTCCTTCACAGACAGGTACAGTTGTCACTCGTTGTCGGCTGAGAATGTGTTACCTAAATAACTGTTCGATTCTAATTAGAAGCATATCCTGTGCAGTTTGTTGCAAACTAACCTCAGTACTTGGATGATTTGATCTTGTACTGGTTACTTGTTCAGTAGTTTGCCATTGCTGCTGCATTATCAGCTCTCGTACCGTTGTTGAAAACCACACAAACTAGTTTGCTGGTTTAATTGAGATGGACTATTGCCATGTTAATACAGACATAATCATCATCATTACGTGCCCTGCCGCCTGGCATAGGCGTTCATAAATTTCCACAGATCTCGGACTCTTGCCCTCTGCATCACTTTAGCTGATGATATCCCTCCGTGCCACTGTTGCACTCCATCTGTCATCACCTCTCTCGGCCTGCCTCCTCCTCTTCTACCGTTGATCTTATCAGTCGTCACAATATTCTCCAGACCCCCTTCCTCATCACATGACCAAAGAACAGAGCTTGTCTTTTCCTTATAGCTTGTGTATATTGATGTGCTTTCATTAGCTTGCTTCAAGCAGCCCTAGAGATTCTTAACGTACGTCTGAAATACTACATCTCGTTCGCTTCCAAGTTCTTTCTAATTTGTGCACTCGCATTCCATGATTCACTACCATACAGCACTATAGGATCTACATAACATTGCAGTACTTTTTTCGGACACACAAAGAGAGGGAGTTGGTGCACAAGACGCTCTTTATTCTGTGAAATGTAGCCTGAGCCTTAATTTCTGAGACACATCTTCTGTCTGATGTTATGATTCTATCCATATATTTGAATGTATCGATTTGAATCAACTTTTTACATTTTATTATAATATCACATTTTGGTGGTATTCTTTTCTTTGATATAACCAATACCTCCGTTGTCTTTACATTTAAGGACAGACATTTTTGTTTGCACTCTCCCTTACTACAATGTCTAATGATTGTTGTAGATTTTTTGCGTTTTCAGCTATCCGCACTGTGTCATCTACATAACCTACGTTGTTTATATTCTTTTTCTTCTTCTTCTCTTTCACCGGCTGTAAACTCCAGCGGAAAATTCTGGTTGTTCGACTACTTCTGGACTGCAGTCCTGTTCTAGAACCTGAGTAAGAAATTAGATGAAGAATACGACTGAAGTCATTGAAAATTCAACAGATAAAATGATTCGACCATCTTCCGAAAGTTCCCCTGCACTAACATTGGCTACTATAAAGAGCCAGGTTGAAGAAATATAATGAGCATAAACTAAGGGGTAATCCACGCAAAAAATAAATGAAGTCGTCAAGAACAGCCTTACGGAGATGAAGACCAACTTACACAGCACATCAAAACAGATCGCTTAATCAGTACATAATCCGAAAAAAACACTTTGCTGAGGTCAGTTGTGGAGGCGAAAATTAAGATATCTAAAATCGAAGGACCACCAGTCAACTGAGGCCAGATATTTGGCATTCTTGTTTCTGCCTGTTATGGTTTTCTAACTATAATTTTCTATGGGCTGAGATAGCCAGAATACCTAGCAGTAAAGGACCCTTCTCTACCCCTCTAGGCAAATAAAGATAGACCAGTATGTTGTTCTGGTTTTGCAAAGCTACTGCTGCCTTGTCAATGCATGACATGGTTGCTTTCTTTCTGTTTAATTGACAGTCACAGGTGGCCACAAACTTAAACAAAAACCTCTGCACGCTACTCTAATTCAATGCTTCACATATAATCCTGATAAGACCGAGGCCGACGGACACATGGGCATTACATTTTCTGCTGGAGACGAGTCCACAGTGCGCATGACCAGAAACCTGTGACGTGGATTTGTCTTACTACAAACTGTACATCTAAACGACAGTCTACTGTTGACAAAGCTGATAACTAAATGCACACAAGATGAAATATGATTTGGAGGTTCATATAAGGAGAACGGACCCACAAAGCTTGGCGTTGGATAGGATTCACATTTAGAAATCTGAAAACAATATAATCAGAATGTCTTTGCCCTGCAATCAACAGGAACATAGAAACACATAAAAACAGACTCACCCCATCGCTCCCTACCCCCATCCCCCCTTTAAAAAAATCACTGAGAACGGAGCTAGTGAATGAGGTTCAACAGATAGGAAGTGCTGAGGGGCTGCATGCAATAATGAATAATAAGTCAACATTGCGTGAGTCGGTCGGGGTTCTATATTCCATTGGCGGATAAGGGAAGAAGAAGACAAAGAAGCAGTTCTCTCGAATTAACCTAGCTGTTTTCAGTGCAGTTTTTAATGGAATTTTCTATTCAATTTCCTCTATTTCTCAGTCAGCGTTTGTGGCATAGGCGTTGCGAACGCGCTTCGTAATGCCGAAATGCCTGCTGCGTTCCTAGTTGCAGACGATTTGACAGCAGACCGCCTTGCGTTGGTTTCGACAGTGGTACAGAGCGCCGACTCTCCATAAGCAATAACAAACTTCTTCACGTAAATTTGCTTAGAAAAATCACAACAACCAAAACATGCTGGGGTTGGTTCTGTAACGCCCTGTAAAGGATACACAACTAAGTTTAACTAATTTTCCCAACCAAAATAGAAAACGTACAAACCTGCCTTTCCTTAATAAGTGAGGCAATGTACAGTGTGATCATAAAAGACATTGCCATAACCAAACATACGGCGACTATATAGCCAACTAACATAGCTCCTCTATCACTGTTCTTTTTCCCCTCAACAATGGGAAGTGGAACCATAGTGGACTTGATGGCGAATGATGTGTTCAGGACAGACTGAAGCAAGGCATTCACCACGTAGTTGACCTGGTATTAGAGGTGGAGTAAACAGAATTAAGGCCGGTCCAAAACGGATTTGCTTCACATCAACAAAGGACAGGAGGATACACCGTGGTAGCGCTTGGATAGCCATTACTGTTTCTTACTTTGTTTCTTACTTATAATTTTTTAGAACGTTTCAGGGCCTATTTGGGGTTTCCCCCGCAGGTGGCAGTCCAGAAAGTGTGGGTTGAAACAAAAAAAAGGGGGGGAGGGGGAGCCAGCCAATCAATTAGCCAATGACTTGACTTTGAGGAGGTGGGGTCAGTCATTCAGTCAATGACTTGACTTGGAGGGGGGGGGGGGGGGACCAGTAAGTCATGCAGTCAATGACTTGTCTTTGGGATATGTAATTTTTGAGGAATCAGTTAGTCTTTCCTCCTGGGCCTAAGGCGGCGCTAAGGGCAGAGGTCATAGCTCTCCATGTCTGGCGGTTCACTGCCACCGCTCTAGGTCTTGGATGTTTATTAATCCCATGGTTAAGCCTTCCCTGATGATGGATCTACGCAGAGTCCCTCTCGGTCTTCCCCGTTTTCGTTTCCCTTCTGGTGTCCATATAAGGGCTTGATTGTGGGAGTCTTGTCTTATCCATTCTGAGTGCGTGGCCAGTGTAGTTCCAGCGGCGCTTTCTTATAAAATTAGATACATACATTTTTTAGGAATCGTAGACGTTTAAACACGACAGTGACTACGGATCTACAAAGATGACACTGAAAATATGATCGGCAATACTAACTGGACTTAAAATACACACAAGCATATGCAAAACAGAGAGAGAACAGAAGAAAAGAAGGTCAAGGGTAGAAAGAGAGTGCGAGGGGGACGGGCGAGAGAGAGACAGAGAGAGAGAGTGAGTAAGAGAGAGAGAGAGAGAGAGAGAGAGAGAGAGAGAGAGAGAGAGAGAGAGAGAGAGAGAGAGAGAGAGAATGAATGTATCAATGCATGAATAAAAAAATACCATCACAGCAATCTGAACATTCCCACATGTGCTCCGTCCACTTCTGCAGCAACCAGCAAAGAGCTGGCATGCTAATACTACTGGTTGTAGCCTGATTAAAGGTCAGCTTCTGTTTCGGCTTCAATTTTCAATAACTTCCAAAACCTCTACACAGTCCCCGTTGAATTAGTCTCTCCGTGTATGGATTCCCTATCTGTTCTTTTGCACTCTCTGTTTGACCCATAAAGCTTTTACCACAGCCGTTTTATCATACACTAGTTCACCGCCCCTAGAAGCGACAGCCAATCAGACTGCTCGTCTCCCCGCACACCTGAATCTCCTTCACAAAAAATTCATGATAGGCTTTTTTTTTTTAATCTGGGCTTTATTAAATGATGCAAGCCACACTCTGCGCGCACGACACTAGTTTCAATTTTCCGAAGCATGCTCTGTGAGTCTGTTACAATTACAACATACTGGGCTGTGCTGTTCTCAAGCCATCGGAAACCTGTCTTTACTACCTCCACCTCTATTCTCATATATGTCTGTGTGTGTGTGTATGTAAATATATATGTGTGTGTGTGTGTGAGAGAGAGAGAGAGAAAGACAGAGAGAGAGAGAGAGAGAGAGAGAGGGAGATATATTTGGCTTTCTATATGCCAACTGAGAGAGGCGTGGCTGTAGAGCTAATAGAGTACAACAGGAAGCTACAGGGTGGATTCAATAAAGAGAATGCTAGACCACGACTGGCTCCAGCTGACCAGCTGTGCTGCTGACGTCACCGGATCAGGCTAACGATGCGTTAAAGCAGCGGTTTTCAAACTGGGTGCTGAGGCACCCTGGGGTGCCATGAGTGTATGCCACGGGTGCCGCGGCAATAATCAAGAAAAGTCGGCTCAAAATTGTGAAATTATTAAAGAAGGCATTAAAAGTTAAAATTTAGGTTGTCTTTTCTCGCCACCGTAGAAAATAGTTTATTTATTGTTTGAGAACCACTTCGTTAACGCAACGTTAGCCTGACCTGGTGACGTCAGCAGCGCGGCCTGTCTGCTGGGGCCGGTCTCCAGTCTCACTAAACTGGACTTGATGATCCAAAGTCATCGTATACATGTGGAAATACATGATGCAGACCAGGCGGACAAGGAGAAATAGACAGAAACAGGCAGTCAGAGATGTATAGACAGAATGACAGACATAGACATATTACTTTGTAGACGGAGGAAAAGAAAAACAAAACTACACACAAAGATGGACAGAAGAGGGACATATAGGTATGAATAAGGATTGTCAATGAGAGGAGACAGACAGACTGACCCACGTACAGACAGATATAGTAATGTGACAATAAAAAAACTGTTCCATTTATTAAATGTGACAGTAATTAAATGTAACAGTTATTAAATGAGACAGTAATTAAATGTGTCAGTAATTAAATGTGACAGTAGTCAAAATGTGACAGTAATCAAATTTTACGCATAATGTGCATGGTGCTTATGAGGGACCTGCAATAAACATTAGTGTTTTCGAGCTGGAGACAGTTTTGCATACCAAGGATCCACAATGAATAGTAAACTATCACTGGACTAAGAAATCAACATCAGGACCAGTAAGGCAGCAGTATCAACAAGCTGACTCTTTTTTTTAAAAAAAACGTGTCGGAGAACTAAAAGCTCCCGATTGAAACAAAGGGTCTTGTTTCTCAAACGTGGAGCTCAGGTAGCTAAGGCCCACTCGGAGAATAGAGGCAAATGCCAGTGGCATCCTTTATGGCTTGGTGAATTTCTAATGGGTAGAAACTCTAAGGCCGGCCTTACTGCAATTTAAAAAGGTGTTGGGATAGATTCGTCAGAAAAAAATGCAGTCGACGGTGTTATGTGGAGAAGGAAACATTACACAGAGTAGAAGAATATATGCGGGGAAATTATTTCTGATAGGTTGAGAGCTGAGCTTCTAAGAACAAAGTACACTAAATTTATGCAATGGCAACACGCCTCAGTATTATATGACATTTCTGGAATTTAAAAAAAAAAAAATCTCAATTTTCCTGTTATATTCTACAAATGTCACAAACTTTGAAAATCAACGCTGTATAATAAATAGCACTGGAGACTGTTTGACGGAAATTAAAAGGAGGATGGCCATAGCAATGCAAAGATTAAACAGCCTAAAGAGTCTATGGTTAAGCAGGAGCAAGGAGATAAAAATTAGAATTTTGAGAGCATGCAACTTTCCTGTATCAACATACGGATGCGAGTAGTTAACGTTCTCCCAGTCCTTAAGAAAAATAATAGGGGCTTTTGAGCTGAAATGCTATAGAAAGATTCTCAGAATATTTTGGACAAGGAAGAGGAGAAATACAGACATCTTGAAAGATCTGAACATCAAGGAAGATTGGCTAATAAACAGCACACTGTCTCGGAAGCTTAAATATTTTGGTCATATCAAAAGCTACAACGGATTGGAAAACTATAATAGCAGAAGGCATGGTACCAGGAAGGAGGGGCAGGGGCTGACCAACATGAAGAGGGGCACAGGATATACGTGACTACCTGAGAATGAAAGTATATGAGGGGGAAGAGCTGGCGAGAGACCGAGTTTCTTTCCGGCAGACCGTAATGAGAATGACGTCCTGCAAAGGACCTGCTACATGATGATGATGATTGTGCGCTAAAAACACATGGGCAATCTATCCCATGGCGATGGCGAGTGTGATTATCAAGATCCGCTCGCTTTAGTAAATAGGACTTCTCCAGTCAAAACTTGGAATGTCGGAATCTTCTGACACTAAATAATCATACAGTCACAAATAGGAAAAGACAGCACGAGTATTAACACAGTGACTCACAGAAACAGCTTGCGAGTGAAGCGGTTTACTGTTGTAATAGGCAATGGCTGCTACTTTGTGAGGCAATGACGATGGGACCACCTCCATACCAATGATCATCTGTTTGATGTAATCTGATTTGCCCATCTCCGTGGCTCTCTGTCCTGTAACGTTATCAAACGTCTCTTCCTGTGCGAATCATTTCATCAAATAAGTTTGTTTAGAATGCTCTGACAATATTTAAAACGCTTTTGATCAACAACGTCTTCCTTCTTATCCACCTACTTTGCCTCACCCCCTCATCGACATCAGTCGTCGTCATCATCATCATCATCATCATCATCTTCTTCTACTTCTTCATCTTCTTCTTATTCATTACCACCATCATCATCTTCTTCTTTTTCCTTTTCATCTTCATCATCACCTTTGTCATAATCTTTTTTTCTTCTTCATCTTCATAATCATTTTCTTCTTCTTTTTAATACCTTCTGCTATTTTTCTTCTTTCTCCTCCTCCGCCTCCCCCCCCCCCTTCTTCCTTTTCCCATCTTCGTCTTTGTCGTCGTCGTCGTCTTCATCTGCTTCCCCTCCTCTCCTCCTCTTCTTTTTCTACTTCCTCGTCGTCTTCGCCTTCTCTTCGTCTGCATCTTTCTTTTTTCTTCTTTTTTCATCTGTCCTAATATCATGTCTGTGAGAGAACTTTGGATCGTCGTTTGTGGTTTTTTTTTTTTTTTTTTTTTTCGATTTTAGGTTTAAGATGTTCTTTATTTCTCGAAAGTAGCTCTTGCTGCAGTCACTTTATCGTCTGTGAGATCTGCACCTTGCTTTGTGCTCAGCACTCTTGTAATTATCTTAGAAAGGGTGCCCGGGTGGTCTTCATCCCTGATTACTAATAATTATTATTGTTGTTACTTGTATTATTATGCTGAATAGTAAATAAATATAAGAATATTTTTGAAAGAACAGAAAATTCATAAGCAAATAAATGAAATAGAATATCTACGCAATTATGGGGAGGGTGGGTGCGGTTATGCTCGCTGAGATTATCGGGGGAAGGGGCTCCATTTGTCTGAGCCCAGGTTCCGGCGCCAAAGGCATAGCGTACTATGTAATTAGTCTTTACTGCAGGGGCGGCACATTATTATCTTAGGCGTGAAAAAGGCCGTTATTTTTTTTTTCTCTCCCTCTATCCCTGTATATATATATATATATATATATATATATAATATATATATATATATATATATATATATATATATATATATATATATATATATATATATATATACTAAACGAGTGGAAAAAATACCTATTGCTACCAAACAATAAGAAAGAAGACAACTTATTCTTCATCTTCGCTTCCTCTTTTACCGCTGTGGGTGTCGAGGGAAATATAAGGTTCTGTTTCTAACTCTTCTGGCCGCCTCGACCATAGGCACATCGTGCTGTTGTAGAGTTTCTCTGATGTTATCCTTCCATGATGTTCTTGGTCTACCTCGTGCTCTACGTCCTTCTCTTTCCATGTATGGAGACAACTACTTACGTGAAAATTATAGAGCTATATCTCGGTTATCTAGAAGCTAAAGGATACTGCCTATAGTAATATAAGGCAGACCCAAAAAAAAAGTATACGCGGGAGATATCTTAGATGACTACTAGGCGGTTTATGACAGAACTGATCTATAATGGACCATATATTCATCGTAAGTCAGGCAGTAGACAAACATTGGGAATATCTCAGTTCTCTCTACATCTAGTGGCCCAGTGGGCTTCATGGAGGACTTTCCATGCCTTCCTATCCTGTGCAATCTTCAGTGCAGTTTTCTAAGAGTTGCAGCAATCAGTTCACTTCCCATCGTTCGTCTCCATGTTGTTTTTGGGCGCCGCTTTTTTCTCTTTCCCTCTGGTGTCCAAGTGAGAGCTGTTTTTGCAGGTATATCAGGATTCATTCTTATGATCTGGCTAAGCCATTTCCACCTTCTCTTTGTGTAGTCTCTTGGCTTGTGACTTGAGGTAGTCTAGTGTTGGAGATTATGTTAATAATTCTACGTAGACATGTGCGCTGAAAGGTTGATAGTTTTCCTTGTATTTATTCTCAGCTCCACCATTTCTGCTGTGCTGTGTAGTCTGTTACTTTTCTCTTGTATATGTTCATGTTTATGTGATAGGAGTGCTATATCATCTGCAAAATCAAGGTCCTCATGCATAGTGAATGGAGTCCATCGTATATCTCTCGATGTCTTGACTACTGTATTCATTAGTAGCCACTCAGTTCAAAAAGAGGGATGACATAACACATCCCTGTCTTACACCTGTCTTTACTGTGAAAGATGTTTTGTAATTTTACTGCAAGAAAATTCTTTTTTAAAGGGAGCAAGTATGTTGACTATCCTTTATGGGATTCCATAATGTAGTATAGTTTCCAGAGACTGTCTCTAGGGACACTGTCAAAAGCTTTCTCAAAGTAAACAAACTTAATATACATACTTGTTTGTCATTCGTTACATTGTTCTAAGACTTGCGTAGGATGAAGATGTATTCACAGGTTCCTCTTCTTTTTCTGAATCCTGCTTGTTCTACACGTAGGCATTTATCTACTTCCCTTTCGAGCCGCATTATGTTAATTTTCCTTTTGAGCCGCATTATGTTGATTTTACTAAAAATGTTGCATGGTACTGAGAGCAGAGTAATTCCTCTCCAATTATTGCAGTTAGTAAAAAAAAAAAAAATTGGGGGGGGGGGGGGGGAGAGAAGTTACAATCTGATTGAAAGTCTGCTTATACTAACTTCTCAACTTCCCCCCCCCCCTTTTTTTTTTTTCCATTCTCAAATGAGTTGTTGACATGTCAGTGTATGGATATTCTGTTCTGTTGCAATATCCGCTTGATTTTCCACGCCCACTCTTTCATGAAGTAGGTCACCTAGCGCATAAGCGTCATCAGCCAGTTCATGACACTGAACACCGAAATGTCCCCGACAGAAAATCAACCATAATGCTTCTGGTCTGTAAACAACTCCTGGCTCTGGGCTCACTGATCTGCCAATTCTCTCTCAAACCATTTATTGTCTCCTTATGTGGACAGGCATTAGTTAGCAAATGTTTGTAGGTTTCAGTCATTATTGTAGTCCTTTACGTTTCTAATCCAAACAAACCTGTCCGTTTAACAACAGTACGATTAGAGTTCATTGAATAAAGCGACACAAATGAAATCGTACACATGAGGGGGAAAAAAGAAAGAAAGAACCTTATCCACACATACATGACAGCAGGGTACTTGTAACCAAGGGGTGTGCTAATAATTCTGGGTTATTGACACTGACTGAAAAAATTTTCATTTAAGTATATTTGTTTGGATACACATTACATGTTAATAATATGCATATGAGAGAGAGAGAGAGAGAGGGGGAGAGAGAGAGAGAGAGAGAGAGAGAGAGAGAGAGAGAGAGAGAGAGAGAGAGAGAATTCTTACAATAGAGGTTACTGATGTTCCTTATTGCCGCCGTCTGCCACTCGGCAAACACCTAAGTGGTAGCCGAACTCACCCCACACACGAAAGAAAAGCCTCTTTCGCGTAACTGAATTCACTGCGGCTGTAACACGGTTCTGCAGGCAGGCCATAGTTTTGGTAAAGGTGGGACATACAAGGCTTTCTGGACATACCCCCACAGGAAAAAGTAAGACTATCAATTGTAGATCTTGATCTCTCTCTCTCTCTCTCTCTCTCTCTCTCTCTCTCTCTCTCTCTCTCTCTCTCTCTCTCTCTCTCTCTCTCTCTCTCTCTCTCTCTCTCTCTCTCTCTCTCTCTCTCTCTCTCTCTTGAATATTATTCATATGGAATGTATATTCAAGGAAATACACATGAATGAAAGTTTACCTATAATTTTCAAGAACACTGTTCAGTACAGCTGTTTCAAGCGGTTAAACAAAGCTTCTATGATTAGCTCCTGTTTTATTGTATCCGAATAGAGGCTCTTTGAGACACTGTCGGTCAGATTTCTAGATGCAGTCGTGTAGAAGAAATATTTACACACACACAAGTCGAAGAAATGTTTCCACACACACAAGTCGAAGAAATGTTTCCACACACACAAGTCGAAGAAATATTTCCACACAAACAAGTAGAAGAAATATTTCCACACACACAAGTCGAAGTAAAATTTCCACACACACAAGTCGAAGAAATGTTTCCACACACACAAGTAGAAGAAATATTTCCACACACACAAGTCGAAGAAATATTTCCACACAAACAAGTAGAAGAAATATTTCCAAACACACAAATTGAAGAAATATTTCCACACAAACAAGTAGAAGGAATATTTCCACACAAACAAGTAGAAGAAATATTTCCACACAAACAAGTAGAAGAAATATTTCCACACAAACAAGTAGAAGAAATATTTCCAAACACACAAGTCGAAGAAATGTTTCCACACACACAAGTCGAAGAAATATTTCCACACACACAAGCCAAAGAAATATTTCCACACAAACAAGTAGAAGAAATATTTCCAAACACACAATTTGAAGAAATATTTCCACACAAACAAGTAGAAGGAATATTTCCACACAAACAAGTAGAAGAAATATTTCCACACAAACAAGTAGAAGAAATATTTCCACACAAACAAGTAGAAGAAATATTTCCAAACACACAAGTCGAAGAAATGTTTCCACACACACAAGTCGAAGAAATATTTCCACACACACAAGCCAAAGAAATATTTCCACACACACAAGTCAAAGAAATATTTCCACACACACAAGTCAAAGAAATATTTCCACATTCACAAGTCAAAGAAATATTTCCACACACACAAGTCGAAGAAATGTTTCCACACACACAAGTAGAAGAAATGTTTCCACACACACAAGTTGAAGAAATATTTCCACACACATACATACACACACACACACACACACACACACACACACACACACATACAAGACAAAAAGGAAAGCATGAAACAAACACTTACGTCATTTAACCTAAAGTATTCCGTCTTATGACAATCGCAGAACTGTCTTTTGTACAAGTCTGCTATCAATGTGCTTTGATCATCATGAACATGCCCGTCTGTGAAGGGAATGTAGGTTTCCCCAAACGGTATAATATTCAAAGTCAGGGGATCTTCTCGCGGTGCCTCATCACCTTCTGTCTGAACATGCATGGCCAAATACGTAAAGAGTCCCGGAAGCACCAGCTGAAACAGGGTAATTACACGGCTACGCCAGGCCACCAAAGCTTTCTTCACAAAGATTCCCAATAATCGAGAACGCTGCAGAGCAACTCCTTCGTTCTTTGAGAAGCCAGTATTAAAATCTGCAACAATATGAACGTTAAAATAAACTTAGTTAAAAGGCTTAGGTACCTAGGCGACTAGGCACTTTGTGTGCCACCCCCTGTCTCCACACACACACACACACACACACATACTTTATAAAATCTGTAAGTAAAGTAAAAAGTAAAGGTCCATTTTCCACACCCTTAGGCATATAGGGCATATAGGGCTAGACCTATATTTTTAAAGACCAATCGGCACAAGATGGGTGATGCGGTCAGCATCACGCCTTGACAATCTGTAAGGGGAAATTTTTAACCTACTCCGCCATAATGTTGCTCCTGTTTTACCCCAATGTATTGAATTGTTTTATCCAGTGTTTATTTAAACCTTGATATTTTGTTTCCTAACGGAGCCTGACTTTTAAATGACCTAGGCTCCCAGGTCGACCTAACCTTAAGTGGGTTCCGCGTATAAGTCAAGGGAAGTGAAAGCGGCCGGTATAATGTTGACTCATCACCTACCTTAGGTCTATAAATTATAAAAGTAAAGATCTATATTTTCAATCCACCTGACAATGTGGGAAAATCTTCCTTTTTTTTTAAATTAATGTTAATTTTTCAAGTTAAAACCTGGGATGCGCACACCCACCCTTCCAATTATGGCTGCCGTGTTATTTTGTTAGGCAATTCTATGATCGGTAGTTTGCCATTCTTTTCTAAATTCAAACTTGCAGTCCTAAAGAAAAACTCAGACTTGGAGGTGCACATCTTGGATTTTCTGTCCAGGATATTCGGGTTTGCGGAATAATGAGTAGGCTGATAGATTGGCTGCTGCCACTCTTGCGGGCGGGGAGCTACAGTCTGAGAAAGCAGACGATAACAGTTTCTACTTTCTGAAGCATACCATATAAGCCCATTACAATTACAACTTTGGGTGGTACTGCTCTCAGGCTATCAAAAAGGTATCGTTGCTGCCTAAATCTTCATTTTCATTCTTGGTGTGACGTTACTAAACGCGAGGCTTTATGTTCTTAACAGTGCCCATTCACTTGCAATAGAATCAATTTCACTCTTTTTTTAACCTCTTCTACCGCTTTATCTGTGTTGGAAAACAGGTGTACAGCGTGTTGAAACCAGCGAAGTGTCCAGGCTACTGAGCAATATAACATGAGGTCCGATAGGCCTACGTACCAGCAAGTTACAACAGCACAGAAACATGCGCTGCAACAGAAGACATGACAAATGCAGCAACAATCCTATTTATAACCGATAAAACACGGTCAATGTGTAATGGATAGCTCTCCATGTTTCTCTCAGAAATTGCAACACTGAGGGGACAACAGCTGGCATCAGACGAAAGTACTGAATGTTCTGGAACTATGCGACGGGAACAGATTTCCAAGAAGATTATATTTACACTGACGATGTATTCTCTCTACAGCAACGTGGCCAAGACTCAGCCTTAACTCCTTGCCGCTGGCTTGGGAGCCCAGTGGCCGTGACGCAGCCTTGACTCCTTGCCGCTGGCTTGGGAGCCCAGTGGCCGTGACGCAGCCTTGACTCCTTGCCGCTGGCTTGGGAGCCCAGTGGCCGTGACGCAGCCTTGACTCCTTGCCGCTGGCTTGGGAGCCCAGTGGCCGTGACGCAGCCTTGACTCCTGGCGGCTGGCTTGGGAGCCCAGTGACCGTGACGCAGCCTTGACTCCTTGCCGCTGGCTTGGGAGCCCAGTGACCGTGACGCAGCCTTGACTCCTTGCCGCTGGCTTGGGAGCCCAGTGACCGTGACGCAGCCTTGACTCCTTGCCGCTGGCTTGGGAGCCCAGTGACCGTGACGCAGCCTTAACTCCTGGCGGCTGGCTTGGAGGCACAGTGGCCCGGATTTAGCCCTGACTCCTAGCTGCTAGCTTAAGAGGGGGGATGGGGGGGGGGGCAGAGGCCGGGATTCAGTCCTGACTCCTAGCCGCTAGCTTAAGGGGGCCCAGAGGCCGGGACGCAGCCCTGACTCCTCGCCGCTAGCCAGGGCTAGAAGGTAACTAGCTCCTCACAAACATCTTAAAGAGACAGGCATCGTTGCCTGGTACCATTTCGAGAAGTGATCAAGTAGAAAATGTTGTGACAACTAGAAAGTTTTGGGGAAAGAGAGACAAATGACGACATTATGAGAAGATTCTTGACATCCTTTTGTCATGGCACGGAGGAGTATCTGCACACGAACTGGGACATGCTGTTAGAGATCACAAGGGTTGGAAAAGAAATGATCGCCAACGTCAGTCGACAAGGCACTTGACATCATGATGATAATGGCTTCCAGGTCCGCCCAAACTTTCATAGGTACCTTTAAAAAAAAAGTGGCTAGCACCTGTACTAGGGTGGAGAAGCCCTAAGTACCAAGATAAAAATGAAGGAAAATAGTTCGTTAGGTGGGGACTAGAAACAAGAATATTCTAGTCCAGACACGAGATCTTCTGTGTAAAGTCTAATAAGCCAGGCAACAAATAAATAGACTACACACACTAACCACAAGCCCTAATCTGAAGCAAAGCAACTGGAACTATAATTATCACCTTCACATCTATTTATTTCACTGAACATCATCTAAGGTTTTCACAGATAATAATGCATTACAATTCACAACGTGTTAGAAAATACCCTACAGCAGATGGAACCTATCTTTCTGCCTACACACCTCAACCCACGTTGCGTAAAACCATTGAACGCAACGGACAAATCAGAACTACATGTTACTCGTCCGATCACCAGGGGGGCCTAAGAGAGCGAACTCAACACTCCCATCTGGCTTAAATAAGCCTAATTCAATTTATATAACAGTCGCCCAGCGCCTGTTTCACACCACATGCTTAACGCTTTCCTACTGATCCTGATTTGTCGTGGGTTCAAATCAGAACAGTGCTGGACTTTTTTTCTTTCAAACATGACTTTGGCTTCCAGGTAGACCCAAACTTAAATGAGTAACAGGTAAAGTTCTGCGAAGTAAAGGCGGCCGAAGTAATATTGACCATTTCATCCCTCAAACGCTGACTGGAATATAAAGCATAGGTCTAGCCCTATATCGGGTCTTTTCAACTGAGTTTCCCCAGCAGCTACGTTTTTTAAACGGAGCTCGTCACGGCCCAGAGGACCAGCCTCAGTATACAAAGGTCATTAATACCATTTAAAGAACAATGATCAGCGGGCCACTTGCTAGGCCTCCGCAGGTCAGATTTGGTCCACGGGCCGCCAGTTGAAAAACCCTGTCCTATAAGAACAAAACACCTGAAGGCGTAGAAAAGGGTTCTTTACTTTTAACTTACCAAATAAAGAAGTTGCAGGCTCTGTTGGTGCGTTAGAACTATGCTTGTTCGTGGCATCTGCAGCTCTGTAGTAAGATCATAAACAGGTTGTTAAGTAACTCAAAATATATTTTTACGACAAAGGCGTACTAGGTTAATGATTCTAAACATAATTCTATATATCAATCGGTAGTTAGTGGGTGATGTTGTCTTCACTCGACCTTTTCTGGTACCCATTTTAGACTGCTTCGACCTAGGAGCAAAAAACAATCGCTTTTTCCCTTCAAAATCTGCTGGTGCTCCTTCAAATTCAAGACGTTAGTCGCCGGCGAGTGTTTGGTGAGCACGCTCCTGAATCGGTAAGTCACACTCTCACAAAGATACATTTAGCCAGCACGCTCCTGAATCGGTAAGTCACATTCTCACATGAATACATCTGGCCAGCACGCTCATAAACCGGTAAGTCACACTCTCATAGGGATACATTTGGCCAGTACGCTCCTAAATCGGTAAGTCACATTCTCACAGAGAGACATCTGGCCAGCACGCTCATGAACCGGTAAGTCACACTCTCATAGGGATACATTAGGCCAGTACGCTCCTGAACCGGTAAGTCACACTCTCATAGGGATACATTTGGCCAGCACGCTCCTGAATCGGTAAGTCACACTCTCACATGAATACATCTGGCCAGCACGCTCATAAACCGGTAAGTCACACTCTCATAAAGATACATATAGCCAGCACGCTCCTAAATCGGTAAGTCACACTCTCACAGAGATAAATCTGGCCAGCACGCTCCTGAATCGGTAAGTCACACTCTCACAGGGATACATTTGGCCAGCACGCTCCTGAACTGGTAAGTCACACTCTCACATGAATACATCTGGCCAGCACGCTCCTGAACTGGTAAGTCACACTCTCATAGGGATACATTTGGCCAGCACGCTCCTGAACTGGTAAGTCACACTCTCATAGGGATACATTTGGCCAGCACGCTCCTGAACTGGTAAGTCACACTCTCATAGGGATACATTTGACCAGCACGCTCCTGAACTGGTAAGTCACACTCGCACAGGGATACAGTCTACACTTTCAACAGATCAGCCTCACAGTAAATAGATATGTGGGTGCGTGTTTTTTCCCGCGTTTGTGTATGAAAGGTGTGTATGTGTTTGTGCGTGTATGCGAGAGAGTCTACGTGTCTGTGAGTATATGTGTACGTGTGCTCCTTTGTGTGCTGCCGAATGATTGCGTCTGCGTAGATGTGAGTTACAGTTCACGTGTGTGCCGACGATCATCCATACGTGAGCGTATGTGCGTGAGTGTATCCGTTTGTGCGTGCACGCGAGCACTTGTATGGGCTTTGTGTTTGTAGTTATATGAGCGCACATGAATTTACTTTCTTGTGTGTTCACGTAGGTTTGTGTGTGTAAGTGCAATGGTAAGCGTGCATGACGGAATGCACGTATGACACCCTAAGTATTTGTCTACATCTTTTGCGTAAAATAACAGCCGACAGTTTAGACAGCAATGGCAAACGACTAAAGGTAAAAATTACCCACTAAAATCATGTAAAGGATAAAGAATGACATACAGATTACTTATTGTCACTGTCCAAGGATTGTTAGAAGAAAAAAAAATACAGATTACTCATTGTCGCTGTCCAGGAATAGTTAAAGAAAAACATACAGATTACTCAATTTCACTGTCCAAGAATTGTTAAAGAAAGACATACAGATTGCTCGTT